CGGTATTGTACGGTACTCATACAGATACTCGAGCGTTTAGCCTGCTCAGCCCTCTCGCCAAAGATGAAAGGGAAAAATGGAGCCAATAGCTGTCACGGAAAAAGTCGGAGGGGAGATGTTCATTCCCTCACTCGCTCGTTCATTTAGACCCTAGATCGGATCAACGGCTCGCACGACCGAACAGCCACGGCAATTCACCGGGCGGCGGACAGACGAGGCAGGACAGGGCGGTTGAAGTCACGCGTGGGTTGGATGGAACGCCTATCCCCCCCACAAGAACGTGATCAAGTGAGAGCCAACAAACCAACCCAAAAGAAAAAAAATCCTGGGCGGTTAGCAAGACAATGGAGTATCATACCGCAATCCTATTATCTCAATTGCTCCTTTTGCAAGTCCTAGGCGACCGGCATGATGGGGCGTATCTATCTTACCTCCACTGATAATTCTGCTGATACCACCACCACCACCAACCCAGTAAAAAATCGGTCGGTGTCGGTGGCTGCCTCTAGCGTACCGACCCGACATACGGTGCAAGACAAAAAAAAAAAAAAAAAAAAAAAAAAAAAAGCAGGAAGTGCCTAAGAGTTGGATGGATGGGAAGGGTTGTTTTTTTTTTATGATAAAGACCGACACGCTTTCATGCTCCATTTCCATCCATCACTATCGCACAAAGTACAGGGGAAGGGAGGGGGAGCGGGGAATAGCAATAATTACTGATGATCTGACCGAGTGAAGTCAAGGTAAGGTGTGGAAAATGAAGTAGAGCGAAGGAAAAGGGAAGGAGCATAACCTTCGATGACGGTAGTTTACTCCCCTGCTAGATCCTGCCCGACTGTTTAATAACTTCAACTACCGGTACCCGTACAGTACGAGTCTACGGTAGTACTGTACCCTTACGCCTCGTAACTCATCAACAGCAGTGAGAGAGATGCCTAACGAAAAGGCACCACCAATTACCAGTACGAGTACAAGTACCACCGTAAGCTGACAGATGACACCTCGGGATCAAGCCCATAGAGAGTGAGCACGAGTTCGAACTTTTCTGTACCGGTACTCTACCGGCGTATCTCTTTTCCTGCCCCTCTCCTTCTCCTTTTCTACTGTATGTCCGTCACGTTACCGCGACTCTGCGAGAGAGAGAGAGAGAGAGAGAGAAAGAGATCAGTTGAGCAGGTCTGAAACCGCCACCATTACATCCCCTCGGCCAGCGGCGCCGCCCCGTACAGTACGTGCTTAGAGGGAAGGACAAGTTGTCCGCAGACTCGGGTTGTTCTAGAATGGCGGCGGTGGTGGCGGGGAAACTGATAGATATAAAAAAACCCAATAGACCATGATTGATAGGATGGGTGGATTGATGAGATGTGTGGGACGATGGAATCGATGGCTATGGATATATAGATACGATGGGTGCATGGATGGATGGACGAAATCGCTTTATCTCTATTGTCGCACTGTAATTCCTGGGTGATGGAATATTTTGAATAAAATGTCTATTTATATCCCTTCCCTGCTACTCGAGTACTGCTGATACTAATACTGCCGGTGCCGGCACTACTACTGCTACTATTACTACCACTGCACCCGAGTATATACCGTACAGTACAGTACGGTATCATACAGTATCAAAAGAAACAAAACAATCACCCGCCATCACCACCTGCGTTGTGTTGTCCACAGAATCGATGGCGGGGCCACCCGAACAGAAGTGAAGAGAGAGAAGAGATAGAGAGAGAGAAGGGTTCAAGTATCGTACCCCCAGTGCCATGCTGGAAACATAACACAGAAAGTCCAAATCATGGACATTGGGCAACTCCATCTCGACGGCCCCACATCCTCGAAGGCGCCTGCCTGACTTACTGCACGGTACGGCACCCCGGCGCATGGTGCAAAAGGGATACAAATACAAATCCTCGTACGAGTACAAAACCCAGTCGCCCTGAATCGAGAGGTAGGGGACAGGCACGTGGTTCCAGCCTGGACAGCTGGCGCTTCCCATAATAAACCTTTTTCCGGTAGTCGTGCCTGTCAATGTAGGGTACGGTGCGAGGCGTGGTAGGGTGGGGAAAAATGGGAAGGGGGAAAAAAAAATAAAAAATGGGACTGAGTGGAAAAGAAAAAATGGGAGCGAGGAAATAGGAATAGGGAAGGAAATGACTGCGGTAAGCGAATGAGAGAATGGAGAATCATCACTTTTGTATTTGTGGGGAAATCGAGTAATGCGCGGGCGCATCGCTGGTCAGCTGCTGATCACGATTTTATTTTATTTATTCATCGTTGTGAAAATTTGATGAATGGTTGAAGTTGGTTGGGGGGAAATAATGATAACAGTAGTAATAGTAATAATAATAATATTTGCCTTTCATCATCTTCTTGCCCTCTTCCAGCGTCCCCTTTGTCATGGAGGCAAGGGAGGAAAGGCTTTCGCTGGTGGTTGATGATCAGGAGGAGGGATGGTGATTCCTTTTTTGTGGTTGAAAAAGTAAACAAACATGTTTTCCCACGGATGGATGGATGGGGGGGGAGGAGGCGTTTAATTTGGTTTGCTTCGTTGGCACTTTCACATCATTTCTTGATACTCACGAGGTACAATACTCACAGTTACGATTGAGATTGCGCGTTTATGCTAGATATGTTGTGTGATATGGTAGAGGTCGATATGAATTCGATATTACTTTTTGGGAGGGAGAGCCGCTCGAAACATAGTCCATACGATGTGGTCGAGTATCATCATCATGTATCATATTGCTGCCTTGTCGAGATGAGTGACCCGGCAGAGTCGCCGCAAACGTTATTGTATGTAAGTCGATAACATGCTCGATGGCAAAAATGGGAGTGGGCGAACCATCGCATCCGGTAGAAAACAGTAATCCCGAAGTCTCTCGCTCGAACACGATACGCTGTGATATTGTAGAAATGAGGGCTACTTGTGACGCTTGTGCTCTGGCTCTGGAATAACTTACCGCTACCCTAAGGGCGAGCCGGATGAACGAACAAACAGAGGTGAAGAGCGAAGGATGGGAATTTCATCATAAAGTGCCGAGATGGGGACAATCCCAATCTGGTAGGAATAAGGGTGGCATGGGGAGAGGAGGAGGGCCTTGGGGGCAGGAGCGGCCAATTGGGTTGAGGAGGGGGATATAATAGCATGGCTGAGCTGGGATGCTCTCCCCGCGATCTGTTACGGTCGCAGCGTAACAAGGTCCAAGGGCAGTTTGGTTTTTCATTCCTTCTCTCTTTGCAAGGTGCCTCGTTTGCGTCTGTGTCAGGTGGCAGGCGCCCCAGGCATGATAGCTGTGCTGTCCATCATTTCTGGTGCTCCGAGACCTTGGTGAGTTGATGGTAAATTGGATATTGGTACCCCACATTGGGTGTCCGGCCGGTCTCACTGTTTTGTCCTATTTTTTTATTTTTTTATTTTATACCTTACTCGAGTATACTCGAGTACAAATCGATACAACCATTGCATTAAATTCAGGTACTATGGGGGTTCTCGGTTACGGTACCGTTGTAATGAGGAGTGAAGAGTGGGAAGGAGAGGGAGGCACGGGACCAGCCCAGTGACGGTAAACTGAAGGAGGGGGTGGGAAGTCCGTTTCTTCATCCTTTGCCTGGTCCAGTGCTCGAGCACCGGTACTGTACAGCTCTTGAGATGGAGGTTTATGGTGGAATTGGATATCAAGGGGAGAAGGAGTAGACTGCGGGAATCTGACGTTTTACCTATGTAAGCGTGGGAACAGAGGGCATGAATCCATTGGGGCATCAACGGGCAATGGAAGGTGTGGTGGACCTGATGAATATGGTAGCCGTGGCATTACGGTGAGCCTTTTTTTTTTTTTTTTTTTTCGTCCATTTTAGCTTTGGTCCCTCTTCTCCAGGCTTTTTCTTTCTTTTCTCTTCTAGCTCACACTACGAGTACTCTTGACTAAGTTACCGGTACCGGTAACATGGCCTTGAGGAGAAGAGCGTGAGCACTGGGTATCCCTTCACCCCCACGGATCGAAAAACTGATGACAGTCAGAGACATAAAAGAGACTTTTTGACGATGGAGACAGACCCCCCCTAGGTGGTGTTCAAAAATTGAAAGTTCGGAATCCAGCCGGCCAGACCCTCTGGTACTGCACTAACTAACGCTCCCTCCCCCTGCTTCTTTTGAATTCATTCCTCCAGGATAACTCATCCCTCGTTCCCCTGGGAATTCTTCTCTTTTCCTCCGATTTTCACTATATTTTTTCTTGTTCTTTTTTCCCTGGTATATTTCCAATCATTCAGCCAGAAGTCGAACAAATAAACCCTCCAATTTCGTTCTGATGTTTTTGCCTATTTTGTTGCGATACTGGTGCATTATTATTATTAAGTAGGTCTAGAGGAAATGGCTTTGTCCCTCAGGCCTCGAACCCCTTCTGGGATAGAGTGACCTCCAAATTGAGTGAGAAGCCCCAATCTTCTGTCGCACATCCCACCCAATGGAAAAATAATGATTTTAGACTAAAAAAAAAAAAAAAATTGGGAAAAGGAAAAAAGGAAAATATAAGGGGGGGGATAATAGGTCAAAGGGAAAAAGGAAAAGGAAAGGAAGAAAAGAAAAGAGACTGTAGCAAACACCAGGTGCCCTGTATTTCATTCCCCCCCCGGTTATGCCCCAAATCTCCCGAAGAGAGACCATCCGACGGGTAAGCCCAAGCACTGGTAGACTCTGCCTGCTGTCTCAGACCCGACCCACTCTACTCTTTCCCTCCCACTTGCTCACTTCCCATCCGATCTAAGCTGTCCCATTCATGCTGGGCCCCCCAGCTATACAAGTAATCCCCCCTCACATTCTTGAGACCTCGTCGTTGACCGTTCCAGCTTTTTTCTCTCTCACCACACACCCACACACCCACGCACACACACCCACACATAATCTCCTCCCCCCGTGGCCGTTCACGCACCCCAACGCTCGTCGCTACAAAGCCATTGCCCCCCCCCCTTAAGACCATCCTTCCCCCCCCCTCGGCGGTTATCACTCGCATTCCATCATCCATCATCATCCATTAAAGGTTGGCCCTATACGCTTGTGACTTTTCCCAACACAACCGTCTGTTCCCCGCGAAATCACACAACCACTCGCTACACACTCTCGCTTTACCTACACCACACAGCCCGGCTTGTCTTTCGATACAGGCCGTAAAACATTCAACTCCAACACAGCGTGGGATCCAAAGGAAATCAGGATGCCTTCGCGACTATCAAGCCCGATGCTGTCTTTGGACATTAATCACATCGCTAAGGTTGACCCAAGAAATGTGGATAATTTGTTCAGTATGTGGACTAGTAAGTGGAACCCGGCTCACTTGATCATTTTAATTGATGCTAATCGCTTTAAAAAACAGTCTTTTCAAAGTGTGCCGAGTCTTTGGAGAATGGAAGGCGGTTAGAGAATTTGAGCTGGAGGGTGTGGAACAGGGAGACATTTTGTTGTGACGATACAACGACACCCAATACCCCGGTTCCAGTGAAGAAGCCAAAGCGACAGGATTCTGAAATCTCGGATTTACCAGAACTTTCGACGAGCGTTGAGTCCGTTGCCTCGGAGTGTGAGTTCCCAAAGGAGCCACGGTCGGATGCGGTTAACATTCGATCTTCACGGCCTTGTTTGACCCGGAGTGATTCCAGTGAGCGCTACCGGGGTAAAGAGAAGCATATGACACCTGTGCACTTGGTCAAGTTGATGGAGGATTTGGATAGGAGCAAGTCGAGTGCAGAGGATTGGATCTCCAGAAGGAGTTTCATCAACACACATATTTCAACCGATGCGGAGCCTTCCGTGCCAGCACAAGAAGCTACTTCAATGGCTTCAGTATCCCCCATGTCTTCTACTGCCGATCGTGCATCTCCCGTAGGGTCGGAGTCGAGTAAGTCATCGGAGCAAAGCAGCCACAGTGTCGTCCGTGGATTTTCACCTGGGCAGGTATCTTCATCGTACCGATCAAAAACAAGGATGGCACCGGAGCCTAGTCCAGTGAAGGCATCGGTGGTGCCCAAGAAGTCAAAGAAAATGTGGATCATTGGTTCATCACCTTCATCAGTATCTGACGATGAGACGGATATGGATCATAGCTTCAGCATCAACAGCTGTCGGGACCCTCAGGTTAGCGGACTGGCGGAGGGACTGAAGATAGCAGGCAAGAAGAAGCGGACATCATTCAGAGACGAGGTTGCCACACGAACAGTTTACGATGAGGACACATTCAGTGATGACGATGAGAACGTTTCAGAGAGTGCCATTGAGGATGATGATGATTGTTCCTCTGACTGGGAATCATCTACCGATAGCGCACAATCCAGCTACACTGAAACCGCTATGTTCCAACGTGTAGAAAGCCGGCCTCAACTTGTCACTCGCCGTTCTCTTCTGTCTACCCTGCTCCATGAGCCTAAGCGAGCACCCGTGCTGACAAACGGCGGATCCCGTTCGACACCTGCCATCCGATCGCGCAATACCTCGCCTTCAGGCCCCTCACTCGCCGCTTCACCCCGCAAAGAATCCTCGCTGATTTCCAAGGCGGCCGCTGGGGTTAGCCACTCGAAGCCAATCATTGTTACTACTAGCAACATGCATCCACCTGCACTTTCGCCACGCACGACAAGGCGAAACATGCTCGCCACCGAGCTGACAGAATCTCTCCGAAAGCACTTGCTTTGGGAGAGACAGCAGAAGAACACCACTGCTTCGGCCGTCCTAAAAAGGCGTCACACGGCACATGATGTTACAAAGCTCAATGACTACCCCCAGCCTAACTTTATGTCGGGCAACAAGGGAAACGCATCCAAGAATAATTCTTGGAATCACTACTTCGAGACACATGAGTATCATGTGGCGGGATGGTAATGGGTTGTAAGATTGGGAAAAGGAAAACAATTAGAAGGGTTTAGGAGGAAAAAGAACCTTGTACAGGAAATACCAGCGGTATAGGAAAAGCTTTTTTTATTCGACTTTCGGAGTACATTATTTTATAATTATCGGTCACATACCATCACCCCTTTCAGCACCTCAACATATCACGGCTTTAATGAATGGATTTTGCGCTGGGTTGGTTTTAACGGTTGGGGGGGGGGGTCGGGTTTCAGGCATTTTTTTAATTTCTTTTATCTGCGAATTCCCATTTGTTTCTTTTGTTCTATTCCCAACGGTGAAAGGTGGTCTTTATTTATCTATTATAGTTGCCTTTGCGTTCATTTTAACGGTGTCAGCCAGTCTTTTTTCTACTTGGGATATGCTTTTTGTCTTTTGTTCATTTCTTGTTTTATTTACCAAGTGGGGCGTATTCTGAATTTGTCTTTTCCGGCATATCGGTGTATTCGGATTTTTTTGTCTGCCTTTTTCCTCTCTACTTTCATATCTTTTAAGGGTGGGTTTAGTTCATTTTCATTGGAGTCGGGTCCGCATCGGGAGTCACGACTTTTGATCCTTTTTATTTTATATATATATATTGAAATTTCTTTTTTTTCAAAGTCTGCCCTTTGCTCATTCTCATGTCGAGATATGATAGGGAGAAGGGGGGGAAGGCGAGGAAGTAAAAGCAAATGTTATAAAGCAAGGGAAAAGGAAAAGAGCGGGAATCAAAATGTACTTTTATCGTATCGAAGAATTATTCAAGAAAAAAGCCAAAAAAACTTCGTGTGCAGCCATGCGTTTGGATGACTTTATTGTATGTAACTATCTTCCTTTTCCTTCGCCTACTCGTATCCATCTATATAATGTCAGAAATTTATTTATTTACCTATTTATTTCTTAATCGGACAGGCGGTTGCCTTGGAAGTGCACTGCGGCACTGCCAACTTCACCTAATTTCTCAAGATTCGAGCAGTACAATACGATACGATTCCTGAGGGGATGATAATTCAAGAGGGGAAAAAAGAAAAGGAATAACTTAAGGGCAATTGATCTAATGCCGATGATGATGGCGCTGCGAATAACCTGACCTGAGTGCAATTTTCCTTTCTCTTCATCAATCCATCCACTCATCTATGCCAGCGATATTCACTTTCCGCCTTCTCTTCTAATCAGGCCGTAAACACATGACTGTATATAGTAGGTACTTTCCCATCACCCAATCCCAATGCCTATACGAGTATAAACATGAGCCTTAATATTGGTACCGGTAATGCGGAGGAGGGGGGGGGGGTTGCGTTTCTAATTCCCACTTAGAATAATTTACCGGGCTTGCTGTAGTGTACTTGTACTGGTACTTGTACTGTACGAGTACAGTACGGTACCGTATTTACCTAGCTCTGTTCAGCGGGGAAAGTGGGTAACCTGAAGAAAAGTTCAGATTGTGGGGTATTGGGTACCGGAGCTTGCTTGCCTGAACTGGACTGAATTGAGCTGTCGGGGTCACACACGTCCATCCATCCATCCACGACTCCTACCCCCCCGCCTTACGTGAGTTGTTGGTGATGATGGTGATGGCGATGGTGAAGAGGATACTGAAATATTTTGTCTCTTCCTTCTGCATGGGATGGGATGGCATGAGATGGATGGAGGATTTTTTTTCCCTTCCTTCTCGCTTTTTTTGTTTGGTCGCCTTTGCGTTTTTTCTTTTTTCTTCTTCTTGCGTTGTTTACAGTATGGTGTGCATTGTGCTCATGCTCTACTCGTGTGGTAGGGAGCGTTAGGGTGAGGAAAAGGTGGAGACCTGGGGCTATGGTAGAATGGACGGAGAAGGGGGTATCGTTGCGGGAAGGGATATCATAGGCTCGCTCTCATGGTGGCGGAGGGGAAGTGGAAAAAAAAAAAAAAAAGCATCAAGGAACCCCTTCCTTTGGGAAGAAAGTCAATTAACAGAATAAGAAGCCTTGTGTGATATATCGAGTGAATGGGTGAAGTTGATTGGGCATGCTGAATTCTATGCTACACACGTCCACAAAAGAAAGGGAATATGGTACGGCCGTTATGTTCGAGGTATGCAACATCAATGGTTTTTTTCCCATTTTTCTGTTCAATTCTATTAAATTTTTGCTGGGAGTCTAGAATTAACCCTCGAGGCTATCTCGGACGCATTTCCTCGCCCTCTTTTGGAATTCCGCAGGATTCTCTCGCCATTGTTTTGCGGCCTCCTGGACGGAAAAAGTCAGTTCGATGCATCTCTCAAACGTGAGTCCGTCGGGGAGGTTTTTTTGTGTTGTGGTTATTTTTCTTTTTCTAAATTAGAGACGCACCAAATTGGCCGGGCTCTCGTCGTTGGGAGAGCTCAGCATAGAGATCACCGATATAAGGATCGATTCTGGGGTACGAACGGGTAGCCAACGCTCACTAGCAGACTCATAACCGTACCTGTAGGGTTGATGTTTGAGTGACTCATTAGTCATTGGTTCTGTTAAACGGATGAAGCATAGCCCTGGCGGAATATCGGTAGCACTCCCTGTGCACTTGCGGAAGCAAAAAGACGTAAGAAAGAAAGTGTGCTTACTGGTCTTCCCCGGGAGGATGGAGAATCGAAATGCAAACACTACCATTTGGGTAGACTAACAATCCCATCAGACTCTATAATTACATAGCGTGGAGGGATGTAAATCTCGAGTCAAATCAAAAAAAGCACAGCTGCACGATCAACAACATACTGTTCGGATGCCAAATGGGCGTTTCAAATGTCATGGTTGGCGGATCATGCGGATAGGTATGCGGGAACACGAGGCGGGCACGAAAAAAACCACCTAGAATTTATTTACGACACTCTTTAGTTGAGTTAATTGAATTTTCGGTATCAAGAGCTCCTTCAAATCACTAAAAACTAAGAATGGTTGTTCACCTCCGTAAAATTTGCAGTCGTCGGAGATCATCAAAATAACCTCCCACTCATAAATGTTATCATTCACAAGACCTGCACTGATGCTTGCTAGGTCCTTGTCCGTTTGCATCTCCTTTAGCTGCTTATGCAGCAGCTTAGCGGAGGCGAGAGGAGCCGACATTGTCTGGGTGAAAGCTTGAAGGCGGGTAAGTGAATAGCGCTGGAAGAAGAAAACCAATTTTCGGTCTGGGAAAACGCACCGTACCCTACCGAAGGGAGGTTGGGCGGAGGAGGGGGTGTTCAGACAGGTGGAGGGGGGGTGTTGTAGATTACAGACACAGGTGGGGAGAGGGGAGGATTATGGAGGGGTGGTATCATAGATAAGATAGCCTTTGTGGAGGAGGAAGGGGTGTGGAGGAAGGAGGCAGGTTTGACGCGGGAGGTCTGGAGGGTTTGGGGGAGAGAAAGGGTTCTCGACAAGCGAGCCAACTAGCATTCTCGATAACGAAGCGTATCATGTAAACCGGCCGCACAAGACTGGTAGCTACACCATGGAAGCGATCGCTGCATCTGCGTCCTCCTTTCCCTTCATTTGTTTGCCCAGAAACTCTTGTCGTCACCATCAACACTTAGCAATCGGGGCACCTCTCCTCTGGTAGCTCATAACGCTTTCCCCTCACCCTGCTACTCCCATTCATATTTACCAACCTGCCTCCATCTTACGTCTACTGCACATGCTTCATGCGCTCAAATCTTGGGTGATGAACTGGCCAGAAGAGCTCACCCTATCCATCTTTACCTCTCCTCTCTTCAGAAACAAATCTAGTTCATTCAAAAGCACCCTCTTTCCACTCTGCGTTAATGGCCGGCCCTACGGGTAAAGGACCAACTTTCAGGATACTATACATCACATAATCCTCTTTGGAGGTGGGAGCAGCAACATTATCAAGTTTTTGTTTCTCACCGCGGCCCTCCACCCCGCTCTTCTCAATTGCCACTAAGGACCTAATCGTGGACTTTAGGAATTTACGGGAGTTTCATTACGGAGTTTGTGGTTGGTCTTGTCTTCAGGCTGTAGGTTTTCGAGGGAGGGTTGAACGAGATACTCTGTGACGACAATCAGTACATTCTGCACTACTGAGGATCTCTGACAAACCAGTGCCGGGGCTGGATTCAGTGGTTATGTGTCGTTCTTTTTGGCTTTCACATTTTTTCCCTATCACGTCTTTCTGCACGTGTTTTGGTGATGCTTCGAATGCACCACACTCGGATAAATGGGTTGTAACATACCATTTAAGATTCGACCATTCAAAGATCCATAACGCCTAAGCGTGGTTAGCTTGGTTAGCTTTTGTCTTAGCTATCTAAGTGCTATCTATCTACACGGCTGCAATTTATCCAGGAAGACGAAAACCAAATGTCACCACTGGTATCATAAACCAAATACCGTTGCTTCGAGTGTTAGGTATGGGGAACGGGGTCTGCAGAATTATTTTTGCGTCATGTGAGGTGGCTTGATTGAATTATGGTACCCTTCACATATTTGACCGTTTAGTTTGTCCATACAAGTATATCATACTTGTACTCACAACTGCCAACAATGACAGGAATGAAGTTGAATGTTGTACAACATAATTGCAGGGGGAGCAATGATGTTTTTATTTCGTTATTTCACATAGTTAAAGGATTTAAGGTTTCTTTTGTGTGTGTTCAGGATCTGCCACTGTATGGTGGGGTCCCATTAAGGACACCAGGGTATGAGTGTATGTTTCAGAATAGCCCTAAGGTTAGGGTAGCAAAATATATATTTCCTTGATAGTGTTAGCAGGTGTTTCCTTTGTGGTAGTGCTGGCGGCTAAGTACGTGTTGTATTTAAGAATTTTTGGCAGAGGAAGACGGCTTGTAGGAAGAAGTTTTTCCTTTAGTTTATTGAATGTTTATAATAGGCAGGTAGAGGGTGTCAACACGGTTGAGCCCGCTAGTTTGTTTGTCGAGGAGCGAGAGCTCACCCTGGTGGTGGGAGACTTGAACTTACACACCGCATTCATGGACCCCCTTTGGGACCTAAGTCATGGAAAACGGCGACAGGGGGAGCTGTACATGCATACAGCAGCGTTACACGGTTATAATATCCTAAATACACATGGGATCTACACCAGATTCCTGGACAACCTGACATTGCACAGGGCCTCTGCAATCAATTATTCCTTGCCAAATGCGGCAATGCTGCCGAGGATAGTGAGATGGAGGGATCTGTACCAAAGAATAAGCTTGGACCATATAGTCATCCTTACTAAAGTTAATAGCGAAGAGGTAGAGCTAGCCAGACCGGCCCCAGACTGGGGACAAATTAAATGGCGAATAGAAAAGGGTGAGCCGAACTCCTTCATTGAGGAAGTCTTGAAAGACTATATGGATAGCCTGAACGGATACAAACCAATATTGGAGCCAGGCGAGGCAATGGATAATTTTCAAACTAGCCTGAATAGGCTGATCCACACAGTTCGAAGCTGGGCACTGATGAAAAACCGACAAAATAGTCAAAGGTATGGTGGACGCCTGAAATCACCCAGTTGAGAAGGATATACACTTCTGCTACCCGGCATGTGAGGCATGATAGGACAGGAGTGGAAGAGAGAGATAGGGCAAAGAAGGCATACAGAAGGGCACTGAATTCCACGAAGAAAGCACATTGGGATGACTTCCCAGTGAACGCCAAGAGGAACGATGTGTGGACAGCTCACCAGTTTACTAGACAAAGGGTGCCTAATAGAACATCAGGAGGAGCCAACACGATGCCTGAAAGAACTGAAGAAGTGATAATGCTACACTTCTTCCCCGCGAATGAAGACCGAGTCCCCATACCTATCCCAAATAGGCAAAGGTTGGGAAAGGAGGGTCAGGTTATGCAGGAAGAGGTGGAGGAGGTGCTGCAGAGGTGCAGCAACAAATCTGCCCCGGGGCCAGACCAGGTGCCTTATGGGGTTTTGAAAGGAATCCATAGTGTGAACCAGGAGATAATACCAAGGCTAATCAAGGATCTGCTTGAATGGGGGATCCACCCCCCGGTACTTAAACAGTCAACTGGTATCCTACTACCAAAGCCAAATAAGCAAAACTATGCGGAATGCTCGAGCTTTAGGGTCATAGCTTTGAAGCAGACTTTTTCTATAATGGTGGAACGCATAGTGAACTCGAGGTTAATGAAAATCGCATATGATCAAGGTCTCTACTGCATAAATCAGACTGGCAGCTTGCTCCAAAGGTCTACGGTGGATGTGGTAGCGCCACATCAACATTGGGTCAAAGAAGTACAATTTGTGAAGAAGAAGGTATCGACAATCTTCTTGGATGTAAAGGGGGGCTACAATAACATAGACCACTGTTAGGAATACCAGAACCCGATACCTAGGAACAACCCTTAGTAGGGTAACTCCACTTGCAATCGGAATCTCTGGTCTCCAACACCCCCCTCCGGCTCCCTTACGGGGCCCACGCGTCATCATATATATCAATCTCAGTTGCGTCCTGTGACTATATTACTACAGAATTGAAGGTGTTAGAATAACACCATATACATCGTCGCCGTCTGTCCGACCGGATCCTTTTCACAGGATATATGAGAGGGGACCTTCCGCTAGGTCTGGGAAGTGGAACAGAGTGATTCCGTCAACTACTCAGAGAGTTACCTGGCTCCAAAAACATGATACCTTTGGTACGGGCTGTAAGTAACAGGACGATTTTGCACAAAGAGATGGTATCAAATGGTAAAGGATCTCTACTAGAGACCAATACATTTACATCCACCAGAAGAGTCTAGAACTCCAAAGAATACTACCAAAAAAGCCAACGAACTTTACAGAGTGTTGCAACTGGGTTTCGGGATACGTCGTAATCATGGGGTAATTCTCAATACTACAATGGCTACTGAAACCTACTACCCAGAGAGCAACCAAGGGTTGCCAACCGAGGGATTAATTACCAATCTGGTGGAATAGCTTCCTGTGAGTTAATAGCAAGTCATCCAGAGAAAGTCTATCGGTTGGGTATGGAGTTACAAAGGATCGGAGTCAGACGACCTACGATGGTTGTAATGACGACTACCTTTGCAGATATAGCTGTGGATAAAACTGATCATTTTATCAATGGCAAAGACAATTGAAGCCAACTCAGTTCGACTTAAGAACTAGGCCATAAGTCTAAAGACTCTGCTAATTGGGATATTACTATTGGGGACAGCACGCATTCTAAGCAGAAATATCGTAATTACCGAAGAGGGTGTGATAGTTTTCAGGGTTTACAGGTATTCGCACCTTGGAAGAAAACTTGATGTCGCGAATTACGATTGAAGAAGTACATAGTTGTATGATAAATAAATGTAGTTTGCAAACACTCAGACGTGGAATATAAATATCGAAGTGCCTCCCAAGCTTTAGACATCATCAAGCAATGGAGAAGAGACCTTAACAATATAATATTTTTTTTACGATTCTACCCTACTTTACCTATTTTACTTCGCTCCTAGTAGTAATAAACAAAACAAGCAAAGTGCGAGTATTCCTAGACAATCTCCCTCTACAGAAATGAATCTCGATTGGCCTAGACAACTTTGAAGTCTATCAAGTTGTCTCCGCCTAACATCCATACCAAGTTGTTGGATAGGTTAGAGGGCGTTGACCAGATCCCCTGGTACCTCATCAACTGGATACAGAGTTTTATAGTAACAAGAAATATCTCCCTTGCATATCCCGGGTGTCCCAGGAGGGATCATACAGTAAATAAGGGGATACTGCAAGGCTCACTACTGTCTCCACTTCTTTTTGTCATATACGTTTGGCTATTACATCCAGCGGGTGGCATGAAAGAGACGTTTACTTCATCTTATGTCGATGACTTCCAAATTACGGTAGCGTCGCACTCATGGTACAATAACTCCAGGATTCTTAAGGCGGAGACTGAGAAGATAGTCGTCAGGGCACAGAGCCTGGAGTTGTCATTCAGTTTGGTGAAGACCGAACTCATGTATTGGAGAACGAGGAGGGAGAAGGGCCCTAGGCCTGATCATACAGTTAATGTGCACTCTCATGTAGTCAAACCTGCTGGTAACTTGGTCAGATAGCTAGGATACTGGTTGGCTGATAATGGAGAAACCAGCTCTCATTTCCAGAAAAGGTTGTGATTGGCACAAGCGGCCTTTTGGAGGATACAAAGACTGTCAATGCCAGGGAAGGGCCTCGTACTGTATGGGGCGAGGAGGCTGGCAAAGGGGATTTTACTGCCTATGCTGCTGTACGTGGTGAAAGTGTTGGCTCCGTCAAAGATGATGGTAGGGAAAATGCAGAAGTTTTGGAACAGAGTGGCCAGATGGGTCACTAACATGTTCTATGCGATAAACAC